ATTTTAGAAATTATCTGCGGTTAATTTCCATATTTGGTTAGTGCGCGCCGATTCCGCCGATTGAATTTCGAACAGTGACAGGCACACCAGGAACAGGTAAATTAACGTTATCAGAGTTATTATACCAAAAACAACTAATTATAAATATACTAAAGTTGGTAAATTGGCAAAAGAAAAAAAATATATGATGGATATAATGAAAATATATTAGATGATGATAAAGTATTTAATAATCAGTCTATGATCATTTATTATATATTTAGGTTATTGACGAATTGGAAGAAATAATTGAAGATAGTGGAAATATTATTGACTTTCGTTCCTGCATTGAGAGCCGATATTACTATTTATAGAAAAAGATGGTGAATATAAGAATTAGTATGAATATTAATTATAAATGCTTATTAAAAGTCAAATTACTGGATTATGTGGATGGAGATTCATCAATTGGATTTAAATCAGCATCTTTACAAATTAATGGTGAATATGTGTATGGATGGTGTAAATATGAATCGGGAGTTCATAGATTGGTTAGAAATTCTCCGTTCGATATTCAAGTAAGTAATCATAATAATAAAATACCTTTTAATAATAATCTTATTATCATTATTATTACTATTTTTATAATATGCTAGAATAAAAGACATACAACTTTTGCATTAGTTAAAGTTTCGCCTGACGTGGAAGACGATGACCTTAATTTAATAAATATTTCACCAACAGATTTAAAAGTAGAAACATTTAGAGCAAGTGGGCCAGGTGGGCAACATGTCAACACCACTGAAAGTGCTGTCAGGATTACTCACTTGCCAACAAAAATCACTGCGCAGGTAACATATAAATAGATTATTTATTTATGGGTGATTATTGATTAATTGATTTTCTGCATGGTGACAATGATGATCAATTGATGTTAAAGTGTCAAGGTTCAAGATCTCAGCATTCAAATAAAGCGGATGCTATGAAATTACTCAAATCCAGGTTATACAATAAAGTTTTAGAAGAAAAGTAATGTCACAAATAAATAAATATATGTGTGTGTATGTGTGTGATTATATGTGCCAATTAAATCAAATACATTATTATTATTATTCAGACAAATTGCAAAAAGACAAAATATAAATATTTCAAACTTTACTCCATGGGGTTCACAACTAAGATCTTACATTTTAGATCCATACAAGGTATTATCATCATTAATGATTAGATTATTATATGATTGACAGAAATAATAATAATTATTATTAATTTTAGCTGATAAAAGATCTTAGAACCGGTTATGAAACTACACAGGTAGACAATGTTTTGCTTGATGGCGGATTAGATGAGTAGGTTTTTATCATCATCATCATTATCGTCAT